CCAAGTATGAATTTTATACGAGGTATTCTTGACAGGTTATATTTTCACAAATATCAACAGTAATTTATTCTTCAACGAATCTAATTTCAACATCAAATCCGCAAACGTAAGGTGCATACTTTTGTAAAGCTCACGTCACACTCAAAGTCAATTTAGATCTATACTCATTAAAATAGATTGTAATGGATTCCTGAACAAATCAGAATTAATTTTTCATAAACATCGAAGACAATTTCGTTTTCCACAAATCGAAAGCATACATTTGTTGTCAAATTTACATGACGAATATACTTATTTTTGAAAGTTTAGGTAAATATCAAAGACAATTGTGGTGTCAGCATTTTCATATACATTGATTTGTATGTTTTGGCTTTTTTTTTTCCATAATCATCAAAGGCAACATAGTCATCTGCTAACTCACTACTCCAGCATTTTATTTCAAATTCTAAAATCCGTTTGGAAATTATTTTCTCAACCCCCTCATGAATCCCTCTTGTGTATTTTGCGGCAATTCAAAATTTGAATTGCAGTTGCTCAATGGGGTGACGCCGCAAATTATAGCCAATCAAAATTCACAGATGCTTTCACACAGGCAAAATAATCAATTTCCAGGCTATAAGGGAGCGAGTCACAGCTGCCCATAATGTGACATTCACACTTTACTAGTGAGCAAAAATCTCTTCCTTTGTTTTTTTATGAAGTTGAAGAAAATTGATGGAAACATCAAGACAAGTTAGATGCATGTGTTTTTTTGTTGTTTTTTGTTGTTGTTTTCGGGAACATGAAAGAAAATGTAGTGTTCCGTCAACCCACCAAAAATACATTTTATAAATGCTTTAAAATTGCTTTAAATAATGAACAGCAACGGCAATTTAGAGCACAAGAAGACCCCTCTAGTCACAAATAATTGTGCCGATTGATACCACAAGATGGCGGAAAGGCACCACTTTTCTATTCGAAAGGACTTTGGCTAGTATAACAGAAGCTCCTCCGCTCACATCAACATGATGGAGCAGAACCAAGATGCCACAAGATGACGCCAAGTATGAATTTTATACGAGGTATTCTTGACAGGTTATATTTTCACAAATATCAACAGTAATTTATTCTTCAACGAATCTAATTTCAACATCAAATCCGCAAACGTAAGGTGCATACTTTTGTAAAGCTCACGTCACACTCAAAGTCAATTTAGATCTATACTCATTAAAATAGATTGTAATGGATTCCTGAACAAATCAGAATTAATTTTTCATAAACATCGAAGACAATTTCGTTTTCCACAAATCGAAAGCATACATTTGTTGTCAAATTTACATGACGAATATACTTATTTTTGAAAGTTTAGGTAAATATCAAAGACAATTGTGGTGTCAGCATTTTCATATACATTGATTTGTATGTTTTGGCTTTTTTTTTTCCATAATCATCAAAGGCAACATAGTCATCTGCTAACTCACTGTCCATCATTTGTAATATTTACGTGAACGGCAACGACAAGTTAGCATACCTTTGGTAGTCGGTACTTGTCCCGAAAATGACTCCTCACGGTGGCTCGCTCGGCTTTCTTCTGGGCAAAATTAGCCTCTCGTTCTTGTCTGCAACACAGCGCAACATATTCTTTGCATTGCTGATATTATATGATGTTATTATAATGATATGTGGACACTAGCCAACAAAAAGCATGTATCCCCAAAGGTCTGAATCTCGTGTGCTTAATTTGCCAGTCGGGACATACACTGTAGCCTGCTAGTACATGTAAATTAAGATGGATCTCAAGTATATGGAGTAAATGATCAAACGTCTTTACAGATATTGTTTGCAAATGCCAACAGTCCACTTCAATGAGTGATTTCTTTCAGCAGAGGGCGCTATATTCCTGAATCCAAACCTCAGCGAAGCGTTCACGCCCCAGTTGGCTCTCCGTCGTCCCCCATCACAATTGCTTAATTTGCTGAGAGGCCTGAGACACAGCAAGTCAACAAAGCTGACATAATGTTGGCCAGATGTGGCATGTGTGACCTCCCAAACAGAATACAGAGACCGCACACACACACACACACGCCGGCACACACACCCATGGCGGGGAAATTTGCACTGCTAGCCTGTGAGGATCACATCCTCTGAAGGCGATGCACCCAATGTGTCAGCGCAAGGTCGTTTTTTTATCCCCGATGAGATGTCCTGTCACATTATAGGCCCGAGTGGGCAAAACACCAAAGCCCGGGTAGCCATCCGTCTTGTCAAGGACCTCACGTGACACCGGCGGGATGGTGGCCGAGCTCTTGTTGTCGTCACGGAATCGCTAAACATGTTTTCTCCATGCTCATGTTTAGCGCCTTGGGCTCATAAGTCACTCTGCTAACAGGTCATGTGACAGCGGCCTGAGAGATCGTCATGCTTGTCAACGGTGTGGGCTCTTGTAAACATCAGACATTTGAGCAAACGTGGTTTCATTAAGGTTTTTATATATATTTGTCTTCAACAAAACCAAAAGATTTGTTTTTCTATACATGAAATATATTTTTGGTTCGGGGTGCAACTAACTCCAGCATTTTATTTCAAATTCTAAAATCCGTTTGGAAATTATTTTCTCAACCCCCTCATGAATCCCTCTTGTGTATTTTGCGGCAATTCAAAATTTGAATTGCAGTTGCTCAATGGGGTGACGCCGCAAATTATAGCCAATCAAAATTCACAGCGAGTCACAGCTGCCCATAATGTATGTCGCCAAATGATAGAAATACAGACAGTACACATATTGTGTATTACAACAATACTTAACCATATTTACTGTATCATTACATACGCACTCCTGGATGAAATAGTGACCCTTGTGGAAAAATAGAAGAGCGGCGTAGTTACCGCGCTGGTTAAGTTCAAATGATTGGGAGTGAGCCTCACCTTTCAATATATCACCTTTAAAAAAATATTCTCTCCCATGTCCTTTTATTTGGAAACCTGCATTTTTCTTGATGGACACTCCATCATTTTACGGATTAAAAACTGAGAGGCCTGAGACACAGCAAGTCAACAAAGCTGACATAATGTTGGCCAGATGTGGCATGTGTGACCTCCATACGGTACAACATATTGCATGGGGAGCGTCAGAACGCAATACGAGCTCACACATTTCACATTGCAAGGAGTCCTTATGTTCAATTGCCTGATGTGCGTGGGTGAGTGGCCAACTGTCGTTTTTTGCAGCAGTCAGTCGGAAGCATCGCGCAGTGTGCATGGCCCGAATGTTAAAAAATATGAAAAAAAATGTTCGTCACTGACTTCCAGAGTAAAGCTGATGCTTGCAAATGTCTTATTTTGAAAAAAGACTGTCATGGAGGACTACGGAAATCTGATAAGTTTACTGTTTTGGGGGCTGGGATTCCAAGGATTTTGAATTATTTTAATAAAACAAATCTGAATGATTAATCATTGATCAAATTGATTAGCTGTTGATTAATTGCATAATCGTTGCACCTCTACTTGAGGGATTTCAACGAATTCAATGTACTGTAATGCGTTTGTAAACATCCATCCATTATCCGAGCCGCGCATCCTAACAAGGGCCTCGGCCATGCTGGAGTCGTATCCCAGCTGACTTTGGGCAGGAGGCGGGATACAGCCGAACCTGATTGCCTGACAATCGCATAGCACACATAGACATCCAAAGGCAATTTAGTCTTCAATGGCTCTAAAAAACAAATGCGTGTTCACAAAGATCAAATACATTTTTGAGTCCTCTCCACCGATTGGTGCGCAGCCCTAATTAGCATGATAGCCAGCGGGTATCCTCACATTCACTTGAATATATTGCATGGTACATGTACATATCTTAGAAATTGAAATTATATGGTTAAGTATTGTTGTAAAACACAATATCTGCATACTGTATGGCTCGCGGCAGCCGTCAGAGCCGCGCTTGCGTCAAACCCGCAAATGTATTTGCTTAATGTTTACAAATTCACATTCCACAAAATGAGCCAAACACAGCGCAGTTCTGCTTTCATACCCTGCCAATCTCTGAGATTGGCAGGTTATGCAGGTGAGCTGAGTGGATGGGCGGAGTTCTGAATAATCATTTGTATTTCTACGTCATAATAACGCCTGAAGTGATCGCTTCACATTTTTGCCTTTTGACTTTGATGAGCTACTGCAAACAATCGACAAGACTGTCAAACTCAAGTCGAGTGACAGACTCATTTTGGCCAACATACAGCAGTGAAAAAAAAAGAATTTGGATTGCATGGGACCTTTGAGTACATGTTTTTGTAAACATAAAAAAAAAAAAAATTATAGTCTTCCACAAATCTAATTTAAGATCTTTTTTTGGACATTTTCTTTCATTTGAAAAAAAACAAAACGAATTCTTGCTTTCTTTTTAATAACAAATGCATTAATCATTTCTTTGTCGCATTACTTTTTCACAATATTTTTTTGCACTCACTATGCAAATGTTAATTCATTTTTTTTTTCTTTTTCTTTTACAATTTTTAGGTGACTCAGACTTGACCTTCTTTGGCCTGAGTGTTGCTGTTGTGTGCCACTGAGGCACACGACACAGAATGTGGAAATCTACAACTTGGCATCTCCAATCAATAACCACACAACTCCATTCCGTAGATGACCTTGCGCCTGGTGACCTCTCGCATGCCACAAAGGTATACATGATACCTCCATACACACATACTATGCCCCTCCTCCCCAATTTTCATCAATGTGTTGCTGGTTTGAAACATTTCACCCGCTTTTTCTATTTTTGACACGTTACCCTTCTCATTGCCTTTCTGTTTTGTTTTTTGACATCTGCTCATTTTTGATTTTAAAATTTCATACAGTTTCACACATTTTTGGAACAGTTTTACAGTTTGTTAGTTTTTTTTTTTTTTTTTATAAATACGCCGTTACAATTTTAAACGGTATTACTCACTTTGGTTGCCATTTTTTTTTCAAATGTTTTGTTCCTTATTTCGACAATTTTCACTCGGTTTTGGCTATTTGTTTTCTGTGCCACTTTTAGAGTTGTACTTAACTTCGGTTTTTAAGACTCACACTCTCTTTTTAATTTTTGCTCATTACTTATACACTCACTTTGTACCATTTAAGAATTTTTTTCTAAATTCGTGTATTCATCCTTTTTGGGCTTGGTGGGTAGTTTTGTACTTTCCCCCCCCCCATTTATTCTCGAAATTTGAGAAAATTTTAAAAATGTCGAGAGCTGCTTTTTGACATTTCTCAGATGACCTTGTGCATGGTGTCCCCCAGCATGCCAACAGAGTAGAGTAGGGTAGGCTATATATGTATAGCTTGCCCGTCATTCCTATGTACCGTACTTGTTCCACTTAGGACAATCACTGGCACAGCCATTTTACACGTTTAGACTTTCTTTATTTAGACTGATTCGTGCATGCGCACAGATTATCCGCGTACACAAATCATTGTCAGAATGGGAGCGCGAGGATGCAAGAAACCTGACGATTCGTGCCCGACTGTTTTTAAACGCGTTTGCGCCTGACTCGTGGTTTTTTTTTTTTCTGTGCGTAAAAGACGCCCGTCTCCCGTACGTCTTTTTACGCACGGGAACGCGAGCGTCCACGTTCATTTCCCCCTTTCATTCAACCCTCATTTTGTCTGTCGACTTACTTCTCCTCCTCTAACTGTTGCTGGTACTGCTCGAACTCCTCTTGGGTCATCCCCTGCGCCGCCGCTTCCGTCTTCTCCGCCTCGGGTTTCTCCTCCGTCAGCCCGCCCGTCAAATTCTTCAGCTGGCCCCCCACCACGTGCTTCACCATGAAAGCCATCTCTCAGACAGTACCGGGTTTTTTTTTTCAAGTGGAGAAATTGGGGCTCCTAAATGGAGGGCGGCGGCTTGGTTGGAATCCACCTGAGAAAGATGCGCGTAAAGAACAACCAAAAAATAAAAACAATGGTTGTTGTGGGGGGAGGTGGAGAATGAGGAGAAATGATTCCCCGCTGAACGGCGCGTGCAATCAGATCGGAGGAAGAGGAGGAAGAGGAAGAAGAGGAGGAGGACGCTGACGAGCCGCGCGCTTCTGAGTCAACAAGTTTGGCGCTCAACTCTACCAATGGCGTGTGTCTGCCGCCCTGCCTGCCCAGTGCCCTCCCCTCATGCGAGGCGCCCATGCACGGCGACGGTGCGCGGGTGCGGCAGACTCCCGGTGGACTGGCCCGACGGCGGACGCAACATGGAGACGTCACGAGGGTTCAAGCTCGCTTCAACTCCCACAAATATTTTGGACTAATTTTGACTTTTTTAAAAAAAAAACAATTTTCACTCATCTATTGTTCATTTTTTGCTCTCCAACTTCCTTTAAACTCATGCATTACATTTTTTTGGGGGGGGGGTTAATATTTAGGGGCAATTTTCAAATATTTAAAGATACATAATATCGTATATATTTTCAATTTTTTAAGACATTTTTACAATTATTCCCTCTTCTTTTTGTTTTTTTTAAACATCATTCATTTTTGTAAAAATGTTTGGACCATTTTTTAAATTCATATATGTGCTGATTTTTCATTTTTGACATTTTGCACTCCAAACATTTTTCAGTCATTTTTTTAATGCCATTCAATACATGACCTACATTCTTTGATTTTTTTCCCGTAAAGTTTATCTTTTACAATAACAAAAAAAACAGTTGTTCGTAGTTACAGTTACTTTGACAATCTACACACAATATGATTTTTTTCCCGTAAAGTTTATCTTTTACAATAAAAAAAAAAAACAGTTGTTAGTAGTTACAGTTACTTTGACAATCTACACACAATTCATTTCTGTTTACCATTTTCTGTCTTGATCAAAAACTAATATTTAACCCATATTATTTTCTATTTTTCACCCCCCCCCCACGTGTTAGCAAATTTTTCACAACATTTTCGCAATTCCAAAGATCTTTTTTTTTTCCACTCCTTTATTCCAAATGTTGTTTCCCTCCTTTGGGCCAATTTCGCACAAGGTTTTAAGGCCCCCCTTCAGGTCACGATTAAGACTCCCTTTCGATTGACACTCTCACTTCGGTAGCTAACGAAATCAACACAGAAATGGAAACATTTAAAAATCCAGCCGATAAACGAGTTGGACATGAAAGTATGAGCTACCCTTCCGAAAAGCTTTCATGTTACATCCAGAAAGTTTGACACACCGTCGACATCGCGAGTGCGATGATCCTCGCAGCAGCATCAACGTGACACCTCGTCTGACCTACTTTCCTTCGCTCGACACGCAACATGCTTGCTGTGTTGTGTTTTTTTTTTGTGTCAAAGACTTCTCTGCCGTTACACACCTGGAGGATGAGCAAATCACAAAAAAAATGTTCCAGATCCCTCCATCATACAATACAAACGTCTGCACATGAAAAACAATCACTAGAGGAAGACCAAATGTGCTTGAAAAGACGAAAGAGGACACCTATCGCAGTGGAGCTACAAATCTGTATCGGAAGCCGAAAGATCAGCTGACAAAGGAAATGTACATTGCCAAGAGAAACTATGAAGATCACCTAAAAAAAAAAACAACAAAAAAACTGTTTGATGCTCATGGTGGTGAGTCAGTGTGGAAAGGTCTATGATGTATTTCTGATCACCAGAACAACCGCACCTCAACGCACCCAGATGTCAAACTCATGAAACTTGCTTACAACAGCACGGTCAACAACGGCGAACGGTCTGCATATCAACAGGAAGTGGAGCGGCTGGTGCTCTGTTGAGGCCAACACAACCTGGAGCGGAACACGGCCAAAACTGTGGACTTCAGGAAACACGGCTGCCCTGTGGCGTTTGTTGAGACCTTCATGTTCCTCCGGATTACAGTTTCCCAGGCCCTCAAATGGAAAGCCAACATCAACTCCATCTTGCAAAGGGCCCAGGAGAGAATTTAGTTCCTGTGGTTGCGAAGGGAGCACAGCCTGCCTGCCATTGGAGCTGTTGCGTCAGTTCTATCCATCAGTCAGTCTATCAACACACTCCAAAAAGTTGTTCCATGGTCACTGTCTAATGATCATCATAGAGAATGAATAAAAACCATCCATCCATCCATCCATTATCCAAACCACTTCTCCTCATGAGAAGCCTATTCCAGCTGTCATTGGTCGGTAGGCAGGGTAGACCCTGAACTGGTCGCCCGCCGCTGGCAAGGTAATGAATTAAAAACCCCTCACACCAAATATAACATTTCTTCAATTGGAGTATGACTCAGAGCATAACATTACCGTCAAATCACGACAAATGTCTTCCGTGAAATGCCACTTTTTTATTTCTGGCATAAAATGATATCATAGGAATTTGAAAATGAAACGCCATCAAACTAGACTGCCAAAAATGTATGCATACAAAAGTAGATGTGAGGTCATACTCTGTTTAGCAGGTTTGACATGGAGAGTCTTGTTAGCCCGACGAGGTCTTCAACAGCAGCTGTGTTTGTCAAAGTCATGCAAACGCGCGGCAACGGCGGATGGCGGCGTAACGAAAGGCTCCCGGATGAGCGCGGAAACAACATTACTCCCAGAATCTAAAAATAGACGCGTGTCAGGGCCCCCGCAGCCTCGTGCTCCGCTTTAGTCGTCTTTTTACTGCCTGTTTCCCACTTTGACTGACATCTGCGAACATGATGATCGCCATCATCATTTGACGTCAACGGGCGGTGAACAACAAAACTACAGCAGGTCTGTGCCGACCCGGGATGATGTCATCAAAAGAATGACCGAAAAATATGTTTCATCAAATTCTGTCTTTGAATGCCTTGCGTCAAAATACCGTCATCAAATTTTTTGGGCAAAATGTCCAAATCAGAGGCCATTTGATCTTTTCTTCTGGCACGTGGTTTTCAAACGTCTTCATTTCTTTGTTTTGAATGGATTTTTTTCATCACGTAAAGCACAGTGTGTATGAAATGCACTGTATAAATCAAGCTGTCTCGCCTTGCCTTGCAGTCACAGCGGAAACGTGCAAAGGTGCTAATTTCCATCTATCAAGCCAACGTGCCACTACAACGATTTTCACGCCATCCACTTTTTCCCAGAATTGCTTTGAACCTCGAAATGATGACACATTTGAATACTTAGTGAACACAATCAGTTTAACAATGAGAAAATGCTTTCCGGGGGTTGCTGTGGTAACATCTCAAGGAGCCGCTTTCCTTCGAACAAGCCAGTGTGCCATGGAGGTGACTTTGAAGCCGTTCAAATGTCACATAATTTGGCTTTATAACCCTCAAAATGATGACAGGGGCTCAACTTGAGTATTTTGGGAATGCCATCAGGTTACCATAGCATCTTTTTGGTTTGTTTGTGAGGACTGTGAGGGAGTCAAAAGCAAAAAAAAAATTTTTTTTCATTAAAAAATCAAATGTGTTGTTCCTACTTCCTCATGCCAGTGCCTCTGAATGTTCTAAAGCGAAGCGTGTAGATTTTAGAAGACGTGTGAAAGACCAATCAGAGGGTTTGTCAAGTCAGTGTAAACAGGGTGCGAAAAAAAACAAAATCCACTCAGAGGATGCACCGAGCCGGAGCAGCTGCCTCTCCTGATGCCAGCCACCCACTCCACCAATTGCTTGAATTGATAACAGGAAGCCTCAAAAAGCCTCATTAAGAAAGATTCTGCGGGCTATAATCTGAAACTGCAACTTCGCTTTTTATACTGGCTGAAATCATTCATCGCATAGAGAGAGAGAAAATAAACGCAATCATACTCTGCAAAAAGTAACATAAAAGAAATGAACTAACAATGTAAATGCATGTAGAAAACGGCACGCGCAACAAAAAATAACATTAATTCCTGAAAAAAAATATTTGTACTGTATATGACACTTTTTCTCAGTTGCTTTGTACACTGCTGGAAACAACGTTTGAAACGTTTATTAAATGTCAGCTACATCTGACAACAACATCAAGAATAATAATAATTATTATTAGGTGAACTAGTGAACTGTAACAAATCCCTCATGGCAGCAATGCTGTAAGTAACACACTGGAAGGTAAGGCAGGATGTCTGCTTTCAAATGGAATATACACACACACACACACACACACACACACACACACACACACACACACACACGAGCGCGGTGTATCATTTACCCACAATTCTTCACTGTGTGTAACGATGGCGTTTAATCCGCTTCAATATTAGCATGTTAGCACGCTAACAAGCTAAGTTAAGCTTTGGAGGCTTTAAAGATCAACAGTGAAAGCAGCACAGACGTGTGTGTGTGGGTGGGTGTGTGGGTTTATGTGTGTGTGAAATCTTCATTCCTCCAACCCTCTCGAACATCCGTCATCTTTCCTTCCCTGATCCATCCATCCTCTCCACACCACCCCTTCTTCGTTCTTCCCCTCATCCCTCCATCCTTCTTCCCTTTTCCACTTCCGCCATCTGTCTTTTCCTCTCCTCCTCTCATGCCTTTATCCCCCTGCACTCTTCCATCCTCCCTTCATCATCCCGCTCTCCTCCCTTCCCTCCATCCCCGCCACTTCCTGTCACACCGCTTCCTTATTCCTTCTTCATCCCTCCCCCCACCTCTCTGCATCCCCTCATGTTTCCTACCCCACTCCTCCCTGATCACGCCATTCTTCATCCCTCCGTCCTATAAGGAACCTCTACATCCCTCCTTTTTCTTCCTCCCTTCCATCCATCTCAATTCCCCTTTGCATCTCATCATGCTAGCATCCCCCCCCACATGTTTCCCATCACTCACATCCTTCTCCTTTTTCTCCTCTCTGCTGACCTCATCCAACCGTCTCATCCCTTTATTTCCCCTCCCCATCTTCCATCCCTTTCCTCCATGTCGCATGTGGCGTGCGTCCCGAGGGCTGCTTTGGAGGAAACATGGCGTCACAAAGACTTCGTGCCGGCTGAGCTTATATGGAATTAGCTGAGCAGAAAATTCCCCCTTTTGGTGACGTCATGCAAGCAATCTGCTAATCGGAGTAATACGAGGATGAAGAGGAGGAACGTGATGAAGCTGTGAGGCAGTGCAAACCACGAGCAGACATCAAACTAGCCATGATTGACACCGCTCGTGTTGGATGACATGGTTCAGGTGAAGCCGATGTTGGGTCCGGTTAATTATGAAACGCTTTTTCATAAATGTAAAACTAAAAACGTGCGGAGGAGGATGATTGCGCTGGTTTCTCGTCATCCTGAGTAGATGCCAATCTCACCAGTTGGCTGGTTGCTGGCCCCGCGGCTAAACGCGAGCTCAGGAAGATGGTGGCTAACATTAGCGAGCCATTTGCGTCGCTGTAAATAAATGAGCGGCTAGTTTATTAGCCACTGACGCGGATC